GAAGGCCGCGCTTGCTTGTCTTCTGGGGACCGAGCCTCCCCGCGCCTGTGCTCCGTGCGGTTGCAGACTCTGCAGCCGCGGCCTGTGCCGCTGTTCGTAGTCTTCTGAAAGCCTTGCTGCGTCGAATGGCGCCGTGTCTTAAAATAAACACGTGAATACGTAGGGATGTGGCATTTCATCTGGTCTGGCTGAGCTGATGACCCTTAAAAATTCCCTTGCCTCTGGTAGCTAGCTGTTTGGTCGGGGCATTGAAGGGTGTGATTTTTTTTTTAAAGCCAGCCTTCTTAGAGCTTCTGGTTCAGCCATCTGCCAGAAGTCACCATCTCAAGAAACGTGCACGTATCCATGTAGGGGAATACATTTAGCTTAAAGGTTTGAGGCAACCTGTGCATATGCTGGCACTGAGAAGCAAATGTAAGTCTTGTATTTGCTATGCGTAGATAGCTTGTTAAATAAAGTGGCTGTTAACATCCGTATAACTTGGTTCTGCCTTCTTGGAAAACGGTCTTGCCCTGGTAGCATTTACAGTGTGACAGCTATTTACATATGCACCCACGTAAAGAACAGTACTAATGCTCACAAATTTGTCAGTGTATTATGATAAATGTCTAAGGACAGTAGGGAGACACTGCATTTTGCTAGACTAGGGGAAAGAGAAAAGTCTTTGGGATCAGGTGCCTATTTGCATCTAAAGAACTAATGAAAGAGAGGGATACAAACTATAATCTAGAGTATTTTTCTACAATAAGAAGCAAATGCAGTATTTCTGCGTTGTGGCTGTTCAGGTAGCCTGTTGCTAGTTAGTCATATTCGTACAAAAATTAATTCTGCAGAATCAACGTATACCTTCAAGACGAATTATTAAGAAGCCCCAGGTTGTCCTGAGGTTATTGCTAATACCTATGATTTGAGTGTACTTGTTCAGTTGGCCTTGTGTTTGACGGTACATAAAACTGCCCTAGAAGTAGGATTTGACACACTGAATTAGTCTGCTTGGGCTGGTTCTGCATGCTGCAGGACATTCTACTGTCTATTACTGCATTCTAGAAATCGTGTCTTTCTAAATGAGGCTAATGGTAGGGAGCGAACCTGAAAATAGATGAAGCAGGATGAGGGGATGGTTTTCTTTCACTTAGGCAACTAAATGTGGATCTCATTTTATGAAGAGCTCCCAGGTGCTACTTGCATTTCTGGATGGAAAGTCCCTATATAGGAAAAAATCCCTGTCTCATGGAGTGGATGACCTGTGAAATGCCTTCTCACACTACAGATGCTTTCACAGACTTCCATCAGACCAATATGAGTTAGTGTGTATTTTACATGATGTAGTTAAAGTTACTTTAACCTAACCTTCAAATGGAAATTTGGCCATTCACCTCAACTTGAATTTAGGAGCTAAAAAAAAAGTCTTAAGCCTAGTTTGTTCCACTTGCTAAATTCTGTGGTCTGCTCCCCCATCACATGTGTGCACACACATTTCTCCCCCACAAAATTGTGAAATACCCAGAAAATCTGTTGCTCAGGTTTTGCAGGGGCACCGGTCGAGTCATTATAAGTCACAGGAAACTTTTCATGAAGCGTGCCGTGTGGAAACTAAATACCAGACATGAGGTCAAAGCTCATGCGAGCCCTTTTTATAAATGCTGACCTGGGTGGGAGTCAGTAGTCTGGGTATGAGTGAGGGTGTGCAAATTGAAAACAACTCTGCCACCCACCTTGAACCCTTCTCTCTGGCAGACTCAAGTCGTGTAAAGTCTTGATTAGGCCAAGCTGCATCCTGCTCTGGTGCTGATGTGCTGTGCCTCCCACTGCACAAATGTCTTAATCCCTTAATACCATAATGCATTCTTTGTAAAAAGCTCTTCAGTGAAATGGGATTGCTGTGAATATTAATTAAAGCTAGTGAACATTTTGAGGTAGCTTAAATGAAAGATAATGCAAAAATGCAAATTACTCACTGTTAAACTTCATGGTTAGGAAGGATTTCTACTAGGGGATTTGCCTTTTAACCACATTGTCTCTTTCTATGCCCCTCAGCCCCTCCCTTCGCAACCATCTTGCCTAATAGCAACCCCTCAAGATATGGCCTCGAAAAGAGCATTGGTGATTCTAGCAAAAGGGGCAGAGGAAATGGAAACTGTAATCCCCACTGATGTTATGAGAAGAGCTGGGGTGAGTATGCAGACAATGAAAAATCCTTTTGTGAGTGCTTGGTCAAGGGAAAATCTTTGCCTCAAGTTGATGTTTGTTGCCAGGAGTTCAAGGTGTAGTCTGTTGTATGACGTGAAATTTACTCGTGCCTTCTTACTGGTTAGCAAATATTTGTGCCATGCCCCAAATAAGCATGTGTGACAACTGACATTTGTGCAAAAGATGAACTTTTAAAATACGAGCCTAATGTAGACTAGAGCAGATGTTTCAAGTAAATCTTACTGTGTCAGAAAACATGGCTACTCCCATGCGTGGTAACAGCACGTGCTTTTTTTGTAGGGGTCTGAACAGCTCAGTACATTACAGCTCATGACATTACATAGCTTTTCTTGAGCTACTTTTAAAATTCTGTTATTAACTAGAATTCTGTCTGGTGGTATTCCTCATGCTGTTTGTTACTTTTGCAGCTGTAGTGGCTCAGGGTTACCATCTGACTAGGTATGAAAATAAGATTTTAAATAAATATGCCAACTTCATGTGTATAGAAATGACTAAAATAAAAATTACCTTCTCCCACCACCTTTGTCATTCCATTAATGTAGTCCCCATTTTGGCTGCCATAAGAAGCACAAGCGTGTCTGCTTATTTAGCGAATGTGAGCTGTGTCGTGTACATCTATGTATTATGACCAGGCGTCTAAAAGTCAAGGGAGAAAATTGAACACACCGCAAGTGTGTTTGAGAATGGCTTGAGCCTGCAGAGAGGCTTTAATTCATTATCTGATCTACTTAGTCTGGCTCTCCTGGGTTGTATTGTTTTGTTTTATTTAAAACCTGTGGGATCAGTTATTCTCTAAATGTCCTGTTTGAAAAGTTTAACTATTAGAGGTATTTGTTCATCTCTAGGAGAATATCACTGCTTACCTTGTGCGTTTCGACCTGATCATGGTTTGGGGAAGCTTAAGTGTTGCCCTGTTCTTGACAGCTTTCAGTAGTGCTTCACTCATTCTGTGTACTACTTAAGAACTAACATATAAGAAAAATGCCCTAAATTCTTGAATTGTAACGATATGTGTATTCTTCTGTTAGATCAAGGTGACTGTTGCAGGCCTAACAGGAAAAGAACCAGTGCAGTGCAGTCGAGATGTCTTCATTTGTCCTGATGCCAGTCTTGAAGATGCCAGAAAAGAGGTTGGTCATCACCCTGATCTGATATAATGGCCAGTATAGCCTTTCTCACAGTTTCAGAGGTGAATCTGGAAAGCTTATGCATTACCTTTAGAAATGTGTTGCATGTTATGTTGGCTCTATGCAGTAGTGAATCACAGAACTGCACATCCCACAGTGCTCCCCTTCAGTGTTGTCCTGCTTCATAGCATGCTAGATCAGACAGATTTCTTAACTCTGCGCAGGTATTTGTTTTTGCAAAGCATCAAACATAGCGCTTTTATTTTGCATGTTAGTCAGCCCAAGAAAATGACATGATTTGGAACAACTGAAAAGTTCTGATGGGAAGCTAAACAATGCTATAGTTAGACCTGTACAGTAAGGTTGGAGCAAAACCACTTGTCCTTCCAATGCAAGAGCTGCCATTTGCTTGCTAAAGCTCTTAAATGCACTAGGCTTAAAAGTTAGTTCTGTGACAGACTTTATCGATAATAGGCTCTTCCCAGAGTAGGAAATGGTATTTTGTTACATAATTGGAACTAGTTTTCTGATCGTAAAGTGTTGCTCAGTGCAAGAAAAGGGAGATCCCTTTGCTTCTTACTCGACTCAGCTGTAGTGGCCTTAAAACAATGTAATGTATCTACCAGCCTCTGTTCAACAGAACAATTTTGGTTTTTGTTTGTTTAGGGGCCTTACGATGTCGTGGTCCTGCCTGGGGGTAACCTTGGAGCTCAAAACTTGTCAGAGGTAAAGTTCTGGAAAGATTCATGGGCACCCTCATGAGAGTGAATGGTCTACATTTGCTTAGTAATCCTGCAAATTCAGTTCAGCATCTGAAAATTCTCTTCTGAATGAATCAGTAAACTAATTGTTAATTGTCTTAAGCCTTCTTTTGAATATGTAGGGGGGACAACTGGGTAAATTCTTGGACTTGAGTACCTAGTTAAGCAGAATAAAAATGGAAGGGCGCTCTGTATTGTGGGAGAATCTGTTCGTAATCATATGAAGATGAAACAGTTGCAAATGAAGATTTAATTCCATGAAATACAAAACAGGCTGAACCCACAGGACTCTCTTCCTTTGCTCAGAATTCTGTCTCTGGTGCAAAACTGCTGTAGTGGTGGTATAAATACCTTGTGGAAGGCAGGTGGACAAACAAGTCGATCTATGAGGTAGGCTTTAGATGGTATCACAGAGTTTGTAAGCCCTGGAATATGAGACAAATATCCCATATAAATCTTCTTAAGAACAATAGAGACTGTCTGGAGATATCTCATGAATACTCTTATTTGTCTTGAGAAGTTTTCAAACAACAACTTTCTATGGCCATGGATTAACCAGCTTTTATGTGGGCCAAGTATTCCCTTGCAGTTCCTTCTGATTTCCTTGCTGGGCAAGTATTTATTCGTTTCAGTTTTTCTCCTTAGTGTTTTCATTGCCCTCTGTCCTGAGGCAGGATGGAGAGTTGTCAGCTGGTTTTCTTTGTAAAACTTGTTTATGAATTTGCAGTGGAAAATATTTCAACCGTGCTTCAAATAATCAACCCTAAACAATGACTTGTGATACGGTTTCTTCACACAGTCTCCTGCTGTGAAGGACATTTTGAAGGACCAGGAAAGCAGACAAGGCCTGATTGCTGCTATATGTGCAGGTGGGTTAACAAGACATCTTGCTTTGTAAAGCATTTGAATATTTTGAAGGGGCATGCAGACGTTTTCCTGTCTTAGAAATCTGTATTCTTGTAATTTAGTAGCAGGGATTTGTACTATACATGCACCCATCAGCATTTGAATTTTTTGTAAAATTAATAGCAGAGGAATCTCAAAAATATTGTGAACACTTATCCTGCAACTTCTGCTTGGTACCCAGTTCCTTCCAATCAATTGTGTTACTGTCTTTGAAATAAAAAGTGAAAGGTAACATGTTAGGGTTTTTTACAAAACATTTGCTTATTCTGGTGATCTTTCTGCGAGGACACAGTGCTGGCAGAACATCACTGCTATAAATTTATCTCACATCTCCTCTCCTGCCCTTTAGCTTCAGAAGGCAGGCTGTAAATATAGAATTACAGGCACACCCTTCCTCATTTGAGTGGTAGCAAAAGATGAAACTACTCTGAGGAGAGGGTTGTCTGCTTACATATTCTGCACAGCTACGTATCCAGTTCATTCCTTTTTAAGATTTGTATGTAAAAAAGCAAGATGAACAGTTGCCAATACCCCCAACTGAACTGAGAGGCTGGCCTAGGTACCCGTAGCTGAGAACGAGGAGAGTGGCGATGAGTGTGTAAAAGACAGTCTAACAGAGTGTGTTTGTGGAGTGTATTTTCACTTTTGTTTTCTGGTACATTGCTGGGGTTTTTTTGCTTTCATTCTTCCGTTAGGTGATATGCATAGAGAGTTGTGAACATTCTTGAACTTGGCAGTCGTAGTCTTCTACTTCTCTATTTGTATCTCTTGCAGAACAATGGCAAATCCACGGTTGCCCATAAAGGCCTTTGCTTGTAATCAGGACGGTTCATTTATTTAGGTATAACGCTTTTTAGAGCTGATTCCAACTGAACACAAGGTTATTTCCTGGATTATATCTGAAATGAATCAAATGTACAGAAATGAAATTCACATTAGGCAAATCCTGTGTTCAGTTTCTTTTGGAATTCCCGTAAGGATTTTCTGTCAGATGACCTAAGTCTTCTTGACACGAACTCCTTCCTCAATTCAGGCCAAGGAGGAAGTATGAAAAGAAAAGAGAAAGACTGTTAAAACCAAAAACTTCGCAGTTGGCCCATGACCTGTCCAAAATACTGCTTGGCACACAATTCCAACATCCAAAGACTTGCTCAAATGAAATTTTATCTGTTAAGTCTCTAAATTCAAGGCTTAACAAGGTCGTAAAGTAATTGTACCTAGTTGATGTTCAGATTGCAATGCAGACTTTTTGTTACTTAGTTTCAAGCAGTTTTAAATAAAATGTATTATCTGGAAGCAAAATGACCATTGTTCTCAACTCCTTCAAAGGCAGCACAGTCATGGGTAGGACAGCTGCATGAACTGGGTATTCTCTAAACCTCCTCTTTTCTTCATTTGTTTCTCTGCACAGGGCGTTTTGTGTAATAGAATGGGAGAGATTATACAGCTGTATTCTTTTTGAGGCTTTTTGCTTCAGAGATAGGGCTGGCATCAGTTTTATAAAAAGTAGTCTGTCCACAGTGAGCTTTGGCCCCTTCAGGGCCTAGTGCCTGAAGGTGTGTTCTTCAAAGTGTTCGTAGCAGAAGACAGTTCCTCATTGGTGCAACTTTGTGTCCTTACAGGTCCCACTGCCCTTCTGGCACATGGGATAGGGTTTGGAAGCAAAGTCACAACACATCCTTTGGCCAAAGAGAAAATGATGAATGGAGGTATGTAATGACTTCCATAAGTTTCTCTAAACCCATCTCAGAATTATTTTTTTTAGCTGAACCCTTGATTTAAAGAAAGGAAAACAGCTTTTGTATCTGATTTTGTGTCTCTGAATTTCCGTAATGCTTTCCTGAACGTAATCAAAATTCAACTGAATATGCTAAGACTGCATTTCTAAGTCTGTTTAACCTGAAAATACAGGGCTGTATTAACATTCTCATCCTTGGGGAAAATACGCTGCTGCTGTCATACTAGGAGCATTTTGTCCCTTGCCCTCTTGAGGCTGAGCCATCTCTTGCCCTTTTGGTTCTTTGCCTCAGTGGTCCCAACAGCAAACCCCAGCAGCACCTTTCCTGCCTCTTCTGCGAGTAGTGCTTTGGTGCTATGAGCAGCTGATGGGTCCACCCTTCTTTCTCATACCTAAAGGAAGTGGTTGTGAAGCACTATTAAGAAGTCATTCTGTGAACATTAACGAGTCTGAAGGTGAGCAGGAGATGGCAGGGTTCCTCCAGTTTCCTCTGCATGCATTCGGAAAAAAGAAAGTTGTGAACAGCTACACAAAAGCAGTCTGACTTCCAAAAGTAACCCCATGGGAACGGACAGGCACAGCGAGCGCTTCTTGATGAGCTTGTAGAATCAGAGGTGCATTCCCATACCATGCGAATAAGCTGCCAGAGCTCCCTGCGGGCACTCTTCCTCCCTGAGGACTGCCGGCAGTGATGAGCTGCTTGGTTCCGGAGGGGCAGGAGTACAGAGCCCGAGGCAGGCTGGGCCCACACAGGTGGCTGAGGGGCCTTCTACGGAGCATGACGCTGTCGGCAGGGAGCCGCCGGTCCACAGCTGCTGTAGCCTGCAGGCAGCGGGTGGCACTGCCGTGCAGCAGGCAGGTCTATGCTCTGTGGCAGCTATGGGCCCTGTGCTGGAGACTGACCCTCTTTCTGTTGTGTGTCCCCCCAAGCACACTACTGCTACTCCGAGAACCGCGTGGAGAAAGATGGGAACATCCTCACCAGCCGAGGCCCTGGTACCAGCTTTGAATTTGGGTTGGCCATTGTTGAAACGCTGATGGGGAAGGAAGCGGCCGAACAGGTGAAGGCACCCCTAATACTGAAAGAGTGAAATCCTGGTTGTGGGACAGGGAGTAGGACAATTTCAGATGGAGAGTCATGTCCTTCGTAGGGTGACTAAGATGCACTGTTGTAAATACAATTTAATTGTGGGTGAAATTAGCAGCTGTACTTACCCAAACTGGGATACCCTAACAAACCAATGGTCTTTATTTCTGGAAAAAAGATCCTGTTAGCAAAAAGCTTCATCATGAAAAAGCAACCAGTATCTAATAATCTTAGTTAGCTCTTGGATGGCATTTAAAAATCACATGGGAAAATGCTGAGTAAATAAAAATGAAGCAACTCTGCTTGTGTGTTGTTTCTTTGTGTGTTTTCTCCCAACCCAGACCTATGAAATCTCTTTACCACTATGGCTAGCAATGCACTATTCAAAACAACTGTCCAGAATCTCACACAGTTCTTCTGAAGTATGAGCTGAAATGAGAAGGCGGTCAGGCGCTGGAACAAGCTCCCTGGCCCAAGCGTGTTGGTGTTCAAGAAGCGTTTGCACAATGCTCTTAGATACATGGTTTAACTTTACATTGCCCTGTACAGAGTCAGGCATTGGACTTGATGATCCTCATAGGTCTCTTCCAACTCAGGATATTCTATGATTCTATGAAATAGATTATTAAGTTGTAACTTAGAATTTTTTAAAACAATATTTAGTTTCCTGTATACAAATAAGGCCAATAACTAGTATTAATTCTAAGACAGCATGGAACTAAATTAAAAGCAGGAATATTCTTACCTTGTCAAGCACCCTAGATCTAGTTCCTATAGCTAGCAGGTTGTCCATGATACTGTTGGAATTTGTCTTCTACATTAAATGATTGCAGATCCATTGAGCTATTTAGGCAGCTAATGATCAGCATAAAGCAGGAAGTTTGGACTTAGTAGCCTACCACCAGTAGCACTGCTTGTTTCTGCTTACTATAAATTGGAACTTGCTACAAGCCTGGCTTAAGTGAGCGTATGTCAGTTTAGAGGAGTTGCTGGACAGGTCTCTGGAGGACGTAGTAGAGCTGTATCCCCATGAGAATTAAGAATTTGGGATCAATTTTTGTCTTTGCTACCTTTGCTTTACCAAATCACTCTGCTGTTAACTGGCTCTGTCAGCAATTGCGCTTACAAGATGGCACCTCACTCGACTCTGAAGTTACCACAGCATCTGGAGACCTGGTTCTGCACATATCTGAAGTGTACAGTCTGAACTTCAGAAAATGACTGCATAGGTGCCTTTATCATTGCTTATTTTAATGGGAAACAAGTTCATTCTCAGTTACAGCATTTTGGTAATGAAATACATAGGTACTGTTGCAAATTTAGAATTAAGAAATGTCTCTACATTGTTAGTATCTACTGGAAGAACTGCTTTAGCTGTATGCTCTGCCTCTAATTTGTTTAGGAAATCTTCCGTATGTTTCTCTAGCTTTGCAATATGCTCAAGATATGCAAAAAGTTGTAATCTATGTAAGATTGGACATGTTTGTTTGTTAAATCTGCACGTCTAACTGGTATTGCCATGCAAATGTAAACCAAATGATGGAAAGATTCTTTGTCCTAGAATCTGGAATAATCGCTTGGTTTGTAAATGGGCATGTTTCAGAACACAGGAAAATCTGTGCATTCCTGGGCTGTAGTACTGCTTTATAGCATTAGAAGGAAAATATTTCCATGCCTGTATTATATTTAGGCTTCCAGAAATCTTTTAATTTAAGGCATTAACGAAGCGGCCAGAAATTTGATTATACATTTTTGTTTTATTCTAAGGCTGAGAGAGTTCAAGTTTACAGAAGTGGGGTTTTCAATGTGTACATTTGGGCTTTCCTACTCCTATTAAAGTAGTAATAGGAAAAGCACTCAGTAAAATGAGCTTAGAGCCCAATCATGTATCTGGTTAACTTGCAGATTCTTTCACTGCATTCTGCAAAAAGGACTTTGTTAATGAAATGTGGTAATGCTGCTTGCATCACAGTTTCCTTCATAAAGCTGACCATGTTCTCAACCTTTTACATTGCGGATGTCCAGCAAACCTGAATTTACATGGGTTCTCTGTTTCTGCCAAGATGTCATTAACTCAGTCTTTAAGTTAGAGCAGGAGTATGAACTAAGATTAGGCTAATTTTCCTCTTAGGGGAAGTGTTAAGAAGGAATTTGCTGATGTGAGAAAAAAAAAAAAAGCCTTCCAATTTGTGAAATGCTTTTTTCCTCTCTCCTTACCCATTTCATACAGAGGTTCCCTAGCTGTTACATATCTCTTTTCCTAGAATCCGCTTTATCTGCTGCTGAAAGACGAGATGAGGTACTTTTCTGCTCAGTGTTTCATGAACGCTAGAAACTTTGTGCTTTTTTTATTATTGGCAAGCTTTAGTTTTAGAGCCTATGGTAATTGGATACTTGCTGCCACAGAACTTGGCTTAAAATGAGGAGAGCGCATCCACTCTTCTCTAGCTAGCATTTACCATTTTGTTCCCTGATGGTTGGGGGATTTGGGGGATTGATTGATTGTTTTTCTGCTGAAAAGGTAATCGGTTAGCGTCGGCTGTGTGCCTCATATAATCTCTCAAGAATAGCGTGGGTTTTTTCTCTTGGTTCTGGATGTTGTGTAGGCTTGAACGTATAATTGAGAGTGAGCTCTTTTATTGAATTGAGAAGTATTATATGACTTAGGAACAGGAATGTACACATAGGTGCTAGTGCCAGCAGTGAATACTTGTAATGCTGAAAAATATTTTCCTTCAGAATGAAGTAGCTTATAAATGAAGAGGCAGCTCTGAACCAGAAGAAACAAAGAACATGCAGAGAGTGAGCAGTCTGGTTTTGCTGCAGTTCTTTGGCAAGTTTCTTTCCAAAAAGGGAAAGCAAAGTACACAGCACAAATCCTAGCCCAGGAATATGTCCCTCCAAGCAACAGAGAAAGGATGCTCTTCTAGGGAGAGAAAGGCATTACTTTTAAAATAGGTGGAGACAAACACAACCATAACAGATGCAAAACAGCCTGCACACTAGTACTTACAGCTGTAAAAGTACACAGGGGAATATGCTTCATTCAGTAATTACAAGCCTTGGACAGCTTGCTAGCCATTTTGAATATGTATACTATTTGGTATGACCTGACTACAAAGCATGAAACCCACAGTGACTGTCAGAGCAAAGAATGGTTACTTAATCAGATTATTTTGTTTGTTCTTTCAACGAATAGATGCATTGTGATGCAAGATCTAAGCAACGATCCCAAAATGATAAAAGACAGCTGTCTTCCAGCAGCCTGGATGACATGTGACTTGGTTGGGAAGATAAGCATGTAACAGAGAAGTAGGAAGGTGCCAACCACAGAAATAATCACGAGCAGTGCATCCGTACCATCATTCATGTTCACATACTGTACCTCCAGAAAAAAGGATGCATTGCTGTTACATGGAGACTACATTTTAGTAGGACATGGAATGCAATGTTTGAAGTTTGAAAAATAAGCAACAAAACACTGAATGAATAAATTGTCGCCCAAAATTTTAAATAATTTAGCATGTTTAGAATATGGTCTTGCGTGTGGTATGTCTGTGTGAAATGCAGTATGGAAAGAAAGCAAAATACATAAAATGGGAGCTGAGCAGGCCCCAGCACAGACATGCCTACCTGCTGCCCTGATCTGTC